CTCATCATCCAGAGGGGCACGATTACCACCACCTCAAACTTACACGAGTCTAATAACCTTAAGAGTTGAGGCGCCTGGAAACACAAATCAACCAAATATGGCTCAAAATTGTTTGCATCTACCCCATTGTTAGGAGCGGGGCAAGAGCCCTTTCTTGCCTTACCGTAACTATGCCATTAGCTGAAAGACTTGCAACTCGGGTTGTGAAAGCCATGAGTTCCATGAAATTATTCTTTTCACTCTGTTGATTCTATAATCGTACAATCTGCTTACATTATATCTTCGTGCGCGATAAGTCTCGGCATCTAGGAGTGTCGAAATTTGCGAAAGCAGAGTGAGTAACAGTCCAGACCGTTGGGGCCTGGAACACTTTTTTTTTTTTTTAATTTTATTTTAAGTACCTTGACTTCTAATCAGCATGAATACCCAGATGAAGTTCGAACGCAGAGAACTGTACGTAAATTATACGTCTCTTCCTTGTTCCGTAGTTCCTTGAATTAAATTTTACCAAGAAACTGTTCGTTATCTACATTGTCTGGCGGAGGAAAAGGCTGCATTAAATCCGGTGTCTAGTTACAGTCCTCCAAAGGAGTTAACGCGAAGAGACAAGGAATAAACAGCTTTCATGAAGACCACGAAACCAACTAGGTGCTAAATCAGCACGTAATTTCACGCAAAATTACAGAAATTTTGGAAAACTTGTATATGACTATTTCTTTAAGGAAATAATTGTATTAAGAGAAAAAAATCTAATTGAATGTTATCTTTAAAACCCTGCAAGTCAGGAATTGTGAAGTTGTGGGGGAAACAATTCTTGGAACGGACACCGAAACCCGTGCATCGCTTGTAATCAGACCACCGACCAGCTCCCCAGGAGCAATTTTCTTAATGTACTCCTTTTAAGGTAACACTTTAGGGAAAACTAAGTATTAATATATGCCGAATTTTCAGTACTTGAAATTGAAATTGGTGTCGTAAATAGCATTTCTTGTCCCTCAGCTTCATTCTCAAGTAAATTCACGGACGGGGATATCCAGGAATTATCAACTAAGTGTTGAGACTAATACATCACGGCAGCTGGCCTCATTTCAATTCCATTTCATTTAATGAGATTATGGATAGAAATATGACCTAATTCTTTGAATTAACACAGCCTTCCTTAACTTCTCTGGAAGAACATCTGGTGCGGTAGAATGTATTTCTGTAGTCAGTATTAACGATTCGCCTCCTAAAAGGTGTGTGATTCAGTTGAGTCGGGAATCTGAACCCACCGCTCACACAAGACCGAGCACATAATGATTTTTTTTTAATTCTGCGAAGTTGGAGAAAGCCAGATTTCGCGCTCTTAGATAGAATGTGACCTGTACAATGTCATTGAGTATACCCAAGAAAATGAATGTTCGTTAGAAATAAACAACTATTGGCAGTACTAAAAACTAAAATGATTTAAACATTTCTTTTACCCAAGTAATGCAAATATACAGATGTTGAAACGCATTTAAAAAGATAATAAATAATTCTAAGAACCCTTTATCTGAAAGAAACCAAAAAAATCACAATAAAGGTTTCTCAAAATGTTTCATTTTTAATTCGATTGCTGGTGAGGTAGATACCTTCTAATGATTAAATACGGTAAATTAAAGATGATTTCTGGTATCAAAAAATTTTATTTTATCTTATCAGAGCTTAATCTATCAAAGCTCATCAGAGATAAAATTAAAATTACAGAAATAAAATTACATTAACTATAAAATGAATAAATGAAAATTATTACAAAATGTTCTCTTTTCTTATTCAGTGTCTTCATAATTGTAGCTGAAGAAAGACTCCGAACAAATTTTGAATATTTTCAATTTTCGAAAAATCAGGGTTTTTAACCAACACGAGACTTGCACCATTTTCTCAAACGTCCTTCGTCTTCAAACAAAATTTCATAAACAACGGAGCGTTTTTTGAGAAAAAATTGTTTAAACAAAATAAAAAATGACATTACTCACAATTACGCGAAAAATACTCAAATTTTCAAAATTTGTACTAGACCTTATTTTAAAAATCTATCTTTAAGGAACAAATTTATTAATTATTATATCCTTAATATTTTAGCTGTAGGTACACACCGAAGGAAAAAATGAATTTCTTCAATTCTCGAAAAAAATCAGGATTTTCAACTTACATTAGACCTACACCATCCTCTTAAACGCCCCTCAGACTATCCAAAAATTAATCAAAATTGATGGAGCCAGTTTTTTGAAAATGTTCCAGGGGCTGCATGTAAAGTACCCCCCCCCCCAAATGAAAATATAGGTTTAAATCCAAGGGTATCATCAGCCAGATCGATTGGAGAATATCAATTTTAGAGAAATTCGGCTGAACGGTTTAGCAGCTAGCGTTGTTCACAGACGGACGTTTTGTCGTCAATCGATTGTTCGGCATGAAGGACCAACAAAACGGATTCTGGCTACATCAAGTGTAAGAGGATTTTTTGTCAATTTAGCAACTGAATTTATTCACTTTCTTGTCATCACCATGAATTATAGGATTTTCTTTCTAAATTTAGCAACTGAATTTGTCCACTTTTTCGCTACCCGGGCCTTCAAAGTGTTTTTCTGTCAAAATTTGCCGGTTTTTTTTTCCTTCTTTTTTCCGCGCAGATTTCCATAGCTCTTTTTAAGATATTCCTTCTTAAGCTCGAGAAAGTAATTCGACGGCCCGGGGAGGACAACTCTAAAGAGAAGACCGAGCGTTATCTGTTCCCGTCCCCGTTTCCATGGCAGAGGAATGAAAGATGTCCTTATGGGGGAGTGACGTGACCTACGTGCGCTAGCCCGTGAGGGCAACGACTGGCTAAATATACTGCGATATAAGCAATTCTGCCCTTGGCAGTTATCGGTTTCATCCAATCGGAAGTTTGAACGTTACCATAGTGACGTCACTGGTGACGTTCAAGATTGAATGAAACCGGCCACAGCTGATACCTGCCAGGGGCAGAGTTGTCGAAATCGCAATAGTATCATTATTGCCAATCACGCAGCTCCTCGTGAATCGGTTATCAGCAGTATCCGTCTTATGCATCAGTTCGTCTAAAGGCGGCTCCACACATTCGACATTCGCCGAGCACCGAACTACCATTCGCCCGATTTCGAAAAGCTGATTTACTCGGCGAATGTTTGATGCCTTTGATGTGTACAAAAGACCGACACGCGATGGGTAGGGCGACCATCCTACGTTCGTCGCTCGGCGAATAGCAAACAACCCATCCACACAATTTGGGTCGTTCGCTATTCGTCGAATACCGAATGTGTGGAGCCGCCTTTACGGAATGGAAGAAGCCAAACAAACTGATCGGTTGCTTTTCGATGCCCCTCGCAAGCAGCGAAAGGCAATAACCCTGTCTTCTCTTGCCAGAATAAAGATTCTCTAAGGAAGCACTTCTAGCGTGACAGGGTACAGAAAATATCAATTATTCCTCTGAAAGATATTAACACGTTTGTTCAGAACACAGACTCACTTCCCTTTCAAATTCAACTTACAACTACATTAATTGTGGTTTTAAGGTAGCGACAGATGTTTTTTTTTAACAATCTCCAGGGTAATAAAATGTCCATCTCGATAGGATTCAAGTCAGCATTGTAATGAAACTACAATTTTTGTCTTGCGAAAGAAAAGTTACTTTTGTACACCAGTGTACATATAATATGAGGGAACTGATTCAGAGCGTAAGAGAAGGCATAAATCGATGTTATCCTGAACAGACGAACCCAGGACTACACAGATCATGGCATGGTTGGTTTGTTGATTTAAACTGGTTGGTAATTTTGCACGCCTCCTCCTGCTCACGGTATTCTTAAGTATACTATTGTGCAATATTTTCCTTTTCACACAATACACTTTTGAATCAATATGCAGCAGTCTCTCCCTCCTCTTGCTGTAATGAAAGGATACAATTTTACCACTATTTCTGTAAATCACATGCAACTGCAAGTCAAAGTTCTGAACCAAAAGTTTGGGAACAAATTCTCAGATCTCAACTGAATGTAGAAATACACCTCTATAAAGTAGTAATATTATCCAACGTAAATTGTAAGTAGAGATTTAAGCTTTCTTTTCAAATGCAGTGTTATTATACGCTGATCTTTGAATAGCAATCCCCCCTCAAAAAATAAAAACAACACTTACACTGCCGAGAGTAAACACAATTTAGTTAACATTTGGTAAGGGTAGGACCTTGTTACGTGAAAACTAACGTATCTCCGACACATACCCAAACGTTAGAAATGTTTGACAACCAAAACACTGCAATAATGCTTTTTTTTTATCAAAACCAATATAAATTATGTAAAAGTAATTTATTTGCAGCTCGTAAATCAAATAATACGAAACTACTATTCATTTCCACGTACTCCAAACCGGTAAGAATTTTTCTGCAATTTAACCAGACCAGGAAACTTAAAGAAACAAACACTCCAAAAATATTTAATGCACTTTTTATTACCAACGCAGTTTACATTGAACCATATACAGTGCGGTTGAAAAATATTCCAATTATTTACTTTATTATGGCCACCACGGCCCGGCCATGCCGCTTTCAGCAGCGCTCAGGCTAAACTTAAAAAAACATGATTACGAATAATAGCAAGCATTTTTCAACGAATGAATAAAATTAATTTCTACATAAGGTTAACTGATAAACCAAACTAAGATCAATAATAGTAATAATTATTAAGCAAATTCCATTTAGGTCGCGAAGACCTTACCAAATAATTTACAATCAATACACAGTCATTAAAATTCACTTCAATTTATATATATCAAAAAAAGAAATAAAATTCCATTAGAAGCATCTGCGGCCTGAAGCAGAATTGGTAAGCCGAGAAAAGGAGTGGGAGAGGACGAGGGGAAAAGAAAGGGGGAGGTCGCCAGCTGCCTGCGGCGGCTTCGAGGGCCGGGGGAGGGGAGGGGGAGGGGAGAGGGGGAGGGGAGGGAGGAGAGCCTAGTAACTGGCGCGAACGAGCGGCGGCGGCGCCCACCGCCGAGGCAGACGCCAGCGCCTTGGAGAGAGGCCCGCTGGGGGTCGCCGCCATCGCCGCCTGCAGCGCCTTGGCTGCGCCAGCGGCTGGGGCCCTCACGCGCGGCGGCGACAGCGGCGGGCGTCGCCTGCTGCAGGGCCGGGGTCGGCACTCCAGGGCGGCGGCCACGGCGGGGCGCCCATGGGGCAGTACTTGAGCGTGTGGGCCGGTCGCCGTTGGCGCCGCCAGTTGGGGCACGTGTACGCGCGTAGAATCGGGCACTGCACGCGACCTTGGCGTCCTTGAGGATGTGGCCCGAGTAGAATCCACCGTCTCCCCGTTGTTGCGGCAGAAGGCGCAGTGCAGGCCTGTGCCCGGGGGCGGAAGCAGCCCCAGGGCGAAGGCGGCGGCGGCCGGCCGCGCCGCGGCGGGGTTCGCGATGGCGGGGTTCGCGATGGGCGAGGCGGCGGTGGTCGCCGGCTGCGGGCCGGGGCCGTCGGGCGGCTGGGGCGCAGGGGCGGGGGAGGCGCGCGCATCGCGAGGGCCAGTGCCGCCGCTGCCCCCACCCCCGGCCTTGCGCCACACTGGCGGGCGGCGGGGGCGGGGGCGGCAGCGCGCGCCCCATGAACCCGCCCCCCGCTAGCACCAGCCCCAAACCCTTCCCGCGGCGCTGGCGAGACCCGGGGCCCCGCAGCGTGCCCGGCAGCTCCTCCTCCGAGTCGGGGCAGTACTCTGAGTCCTGCCCGTTGGCCCGGAATTCCTCCATGATGTCATCTGCAACAAGCAACCGGCACGAGCGGTCAACACCTTAACTCTTGACTCAAATTCCCAACGACATTTTCTCCATCAATGCAAATCCCTACGCCTCGATTTTTGCGCCTGTGGCCACGCCGTCGTGGACTTGGCTCTACGGTTAAGCGACTGACTTAATAACCACCACCACACAGTCCTCTTCTCGAAGGTATCCTTTTTATCCTCTTAAGGTGAATGCTCTTAATTTTCTGTACGTCAATACAATTCCGTAAACATAATACACTAAATAACATAATCCAGAATAATAATACAGAATAATCTTATACAGAAATAATCCATAATACAGAAATCTTATCTGGACAGGCAGTAATCCGACAAGCGCGCGTTGCGGACGTTTGCGCGTCTCTTCCTGAAGAGCGCGCATAATAAATCATGGTCACGACGTCGTCGTCGGGTCTGCTTTCACTGCCAGTCGTATTCAACAGGTGATTCAGGTCACGAAACTTTTCAAATTCTCAAAATTACACAGATCTTCGGTACCTTCCTCGATCTTTCAAAACAGACACTTGCTACGATCTGAGCCAAGGATTAAATTCCCCCCTAAAATGAAGACTATATGTTAAATATAATTTTATATAAATGAATTTATTTAAAATTGTAAAATTCACTGAATAAATGCGAATAAAAATGCATACAAATTGTTTAATATTTTTTGAAAAAGTGAGCCATTTTCCCATATTTTTTGAAAGTTTTGAGTCATTTTCCTCTTATTTTTAAGACATTTTATAGGTCATTTTCAAAGAACCTTTAGGACATCAGAATCAAAGCCCTGTTCATAACTTTCGCCAAAGCCGAACCTTATCGCCTCCGCGACATCGTTTGTGTCAGACGAGCGGCAACACTGGCTGTGAAACGGTAAAGAAATCTTCGCATACCGATTCTTTCTGAGCAGGTCACATGACTTACCACAACACGTGGCGAGAGAACTGTCGAGTCTCTTATACGCTGCCGGTACTTTGTAGTGCGATGATGGGAAAACAAACTCTTCTCATTAAGGTTGCAGTAAGCGTATCTCCAGTAATCAGTGATTTCCGTAAACCGACAATATCAATTTTTATGGAGCCGGATTAGAGATCCCACTGGAAATACTCCTGGTTTCAAGTTTTTAAATGGCCATTCGATTTTACTGCTTCTATAAGTTACTAAATTTCTGTAATAAACTATTATTTTTTGCAAAACTACCTCGTTCGAAAACAAAATGTTTGCGGAAAGAAAACTGCTTCTGCTTATAAACATTTAAAAACATTTATAAAAATACTAGTAATGTATGATCATGATACGTGACAAATAAAAATCGTTTTAGTGAATCTTGAAAAGGTGTTTTTCATTCGATCTACAATTTACTTCCCAAAAATGTCAAACATTTAATTTAAGATTCTTTTAAAAGGGTTTACAAAAACAAATAAAAATGTTGTTTGATAGGTTTCTGCAAAACAAAACCTATTATGCATAGAATAAAAATAAATATAAAAATCTTAAAAAGAAATAAGCAAACTTTTCCTTTCCCAATAAGCGAAGTGAAGTATTCTTTCGCATGGTGACATAAGAAAGGTCCCGTATCAAACTAACTGACCTCTGGCATCTTTTGTTCGAACTCGCCTTTTTTAACACAGAAACTGCAATACCAACGAATTTTGGCTCAAATTTAAATTACTTCATTATTTTACATCAATATTTACACGAAGTGTGGTAATATTACCTAGCAATGACCCGCTCATCTAATAGCAAGTTCTTTTTCGTTTTTATTTATTTATTTATTTAAGGTCGCATCAACATTAGGTAATTAGCAACCACTATTGTATTTATCGGTGTGGAAACTGAAGATGTCATGATATGGTGGTGATAGAAGGTGTAAGAAAGAACACGATACAACCATGCCCGAGGCGGGGCTCGAATCCTCGATCTTTCGGTCGGAGATCGCTACTGCACTACTGCCTTAACGATCTCGACCATCCGAACAGGCTTAGAGCACGTTTATTGTGGTATAAAAACACCCATGCAATATCATTCTTCTCCCAGTTTGCATCGATAAACAAAAATTCAGAAGAAAATACGTCCGCGTTCAGGAAGTTCGTTGGTAGGATGCGGGGCGGATTCGCCTCAGTGAATTGCATTCGAAGCAAAGAGTTGCTAGGCTGTCCAGATCCTGCATGGTTTGAAAGAATTCACAAACCCACGGAGTTCTCAGTCGACAACTCAAGCTCTTCTTGATTTCACATTTCAAACTTTATATTTCTAAATGCTCAATATATTTAAATGAACCGAAAATGGAATACTACACTCTGTGAGCACATTCGTTTTTACGAACATGTTCACGTAATTCGAACTATGAAAAGTTCCATCTGCAGCGCGGGATAACTAAGCAGCGGGAAACAAGTTATTCCAACGGGCATCACAACTTCAACATTATAGAATAAATGTCGTCCCAAGTTCTCCTACTCTTAAAAACCAATAATCTGGCAACACTGCTCTGAAATGCGACGTGACAACAGCGGTCGAGGTAGGACTGTGGGAAAATATGACTAGATCCAGAGGACAATTTTGTCGACCGATGAAGGGACACGTAGCAAAAAGACATGATATTCACAGAGCTACTGGGCTGAACAAAACCTCGATTCATACAATGTTGCGTAACTAAATACGAAATTATATTGTTACTTCAGATTGTGGCATTTGATTTTCATATGCAAAGTTTTTACAATAATAGTGGCCTCAAGCAGCAAAAATGCTACTGAACAATATGATACAAAAAGGTGTCCCAAAAAAGCTGGCACATTTCTCAAGAACAAATACAATGTTCTCGTATAACATTGCAATAAATACTTCATTTTTTCTACAGTCCCCAGAGAAGCGATTGATCTGTATAATTTCGGAAATTAACATATTCCTCGGTCGATAAATTGCACCGTGTGCATCCCCCAATACACAAATACATTCGGGTCGAGTTATAGTGAACTCTGATATAGTGAACTTAAGTCACTGGTCCCATTTCACTTACATTACAAATAAGTATAAGAAAATTCGGTTATAGTGAATCTGTTAGTGAACATAGGAAATACAACGTCCCGGAAATTTATTTCCTCCTGGAAAATAATGTCGCATCAGTGTCACAAATTCCAGCACCAGGTAGCTTAAAAAAAGTATCGTCGGCCGAAGGCCGTATTCGAAGAAGTCTTCCCTGTATTAGTGGCGGACCTTGTGCCACACAGTATCACTATGGAAACGAAGGCCGTGCCCTGAGAGGGCTACAACTGGCGGCGGAGACGCGCGATTGCTTGCTTCAGATTCGAGCGTTGTGTTGCTTGATATTCCGCGGGAGTACTACTTAGGGACAGGAAGCACGCGACTGCCACAGCTTGGCGAAATTTGGCGTGACGCGCGCAATAACTATCAGTACCATTGGCCGCTTGCGCCATTCCGCTATCGAAAGCCTGTCAAGTAAAAGTGCCTTCGGAGAGTGGGATGGTGTTCCCACAGTACACGAGACAAGAAGGGTGACGGCATTACGTTACGTAGACACCGAGGGCAATATAGAATGAAGTTCGCACAGAGCACGAACTCTGGAGAAGAATCTAGAGAAATTAGTAATGAAATATGTGCAAAGCAAACAATTGAAAATATTTTTTAACGAAAATGAAATTTTCAGTTCTTGTTGATAATACATTTTGCTGCATCTCTATATTAATAAAATCAATCGTTATGGAGAAATTCTATTTAATTTTGATATCGGGTATAGTAAACCAAAAATGTTAGTACCCAGAAGTTCACTATAACCGGAGTCGATTGTTGCAAGAAGACGCCCCCCAAAACTACTCTTTCAATTTTCAAAAAAATCTGATTTTAACGAAAATGAGACCTGCACCATTCTCATTAGCCACATTTACGCTACCTGAGGAAAATTTTAATAAAAAAATTGAGCCTTTTTGAGCAAATATTGAAACTTGTTTAGAGGTTTAATGTCAAGTATCATCAAAAATCTAAATAGGGCTATCCGTTTGAAATCGCCTAAAGCCTCGAGTTCGTTGAGATCAGTCGAGAATATCAATTTTGGAGAAAATTAGCTGAACGGTTTAGGAGTCGGGTCAGGTCTTGATCGCCGACCTACACAGACGGGTCGGGTCGGGTCAGTTCAAGTACTTTGTTGTAATAAAGAATTCAGCAAGAGATCGTACTTTCTAAATGCAAGTTTTCTATATAGTGTCCATTGCGTTATTGAATATTTTACACAACAGAATGTCCAATCAACTATAGACCAGCTCCATAACTTCTAAACGGTTCACAATATCCAAGTGCAGTTTTCGCTCTACAATGAGAAATCATGGGGCACGTAATATGTTGTAGAAATATTGTTCTTCCCCCCCCCCCAATTATGTATCTATATTAGTATTTTGATGCATACTATCCTCTCTTCAAAAAGCACTCCACTTACTCCACTGAACCCTTTTCTACTATACCATACTCTAGTTCTTACATTTCAAAATGTAACAAAATTTGATGTTCCACAATGCAACATTTGAATTGCAAATCTTTATTGGCAGGCCGCCACTTCCTTAGAGCGCTGTTCATGCATGACAGCTGGGCCTTTAGCAGTGACGCACTGAGTATAAGAATTAAATCTGTACGCGTAAAAAGAGAATAAGTGGTTTAACACATATTTGCAGTTTTCAGTCAAAATCAAAACTGTTTTTCCTAGTTATAGTTAATGAAACTCAACACCCCTCACATGGACTGATGCTGCTCTTTCAATTTCTGCGCTTTAAGGTCTGAAGATTAGTCATACTGATGTACAACTGGAGTATAACTAAACGTACATTTTTGCTTCGAAATGTGAAGCCTAACGGCTTGTAAACTTTATCTCACCGACATTTCATTTTCTATCGAAAGATGTACCATCACAACTAAATTAACTTTCATAGCTTGCAACAAATTTACAGCGATACCTATCATAGCTAGCTATCATA